GGCCGGTTCCTAACAGGCCAGGGACCTGTACCAGTCTGTGGCCTGGGGATTGGGACCCCGCTCTAGCTAACAGCAATCTTGAGCCCCTTTCCCCAGCTTCCCAGACCTTGAGTACCGGGTTTCCAGTTCTGAGAAAGCAGAGACTCAGCCCAAATCTCCATGGGCTCTAGAAGAATCGCTTCTCCAGGCAAGGGAGGGGAATGTCCGCATCCTTCAGAGAGGCTCGTCCTGAACTTCCTGCCAGTGCTGGACCTGCTGCCACACGTGCGACCCGCCGGTGCCAGCACCCCACCCTCTCTTGGATGAGAAGAGGCGCTTGCATTTTGAAAAAGCTGCCTCTACTTAGGAAGTGTCATTTCCTTTCAAGTCACTGACTTGAACCTGAGCTTCTAGTGCTGCCTGCTGCTTTGAATGAACTGCTGTGCTCCGATGCTACAAGCTTCAAGATGACCTTGGTTCCTGACTCCTCACTGGGGCCTTAGGAGGAAAAGAGTTCCCTTTATAGCCCCTGAGGGTGGGCGTCCTCATCGCTCTTGTGGAACACAGGCTTCTGGAAGTGGAGGCTGCCTGCGGTGTTTGCTTGTGGCCTGCAGCTTCGGGATCCACCACAGAGAGGAGGCGGCGAGCTCAGCACAGCTGCTGAGACCCAAAGCGCCTCAGTGACTGATCTCAACAAACAAGGATTAGGTCTGGATCTGAACCATAGACCAAACCCGTAAGGGGGAGGTGCCGCGACGGATGGCTACGTAGCCATCATTTCCACGACGGGATGGCTATGTAGCCATCATTTCCACCACGGGATGGCTATGTAGCACCATTTTTCAACATGACTGGGAGAAGCATCTCAGACAGGCACAACATCAGAGGGCCACAGAATGACTTTCATGAGTTCTTGTTAAAGGGCAGCCAAGACATTAGCAACTAGCTGTTGTTTAGAAACAGTGTTTAGAAACACCTAGTTGGCAAATAAGCAAACAGGCCATATGACCCATTAAAGGAATTCTTCCTCCACATGGAGTAGCAGTTATAAATGAAGGTAAATGCTTCAGGGCTTGCAGGAGCCGTGGGTGAAAGGTGTGGTTTCTAAGAGTCCACGCCCTTTGCAAGGCAACATCTAAGAGAACCAGAAATTCTATTTTTGAGAGAAGTGGGTCGCGGTTAGAATCCGAGTCTTGAAAGGCTGCGGTCCTTCAGATGAGCTGGGACATAACACCCTTTAGCCGAAGCTCAGTTCACCCTGACAGATCCTTGTGGCAGTTCTTCTGGGGGCCAACTCCTGTGGGATGTGCCTGAAACACTGGGTTTTAGCCTGAGAAGTCATTTCAATGCTTCTGCCTATTTTTTCTTATCCATTAAATGGGAAGACTCCTAGCACCTTGGTGCCCAAGAGTGGTAAGGAACAGCAAATGACTGTACCGAATAAAGAAGATTTGCAAATGCACTGTCAAAATGCTCAAACGAGGGCAGGGTTCCCTAGATGTGGAGGCTCTTAAAAATTAGAGCGTAATTTGTGCAGCTTGTCAGTGCAGAACTGATGAGGGGCTGGATCCCTTGGTGGTCTCCCTGCCTTTCCTGCATGCTTTTCTGAATGGTGCCACTGTTTAGGGCCGACTTATGGCACCTGGACTGGCCGGCAAGCCTGTGCCGTGCAATGTGCCTGTGCCATGTAATGGCTGAGGTTGGAAACCTGCTCCACGTCTCTTGCATCTTCAAGGGCAATATCATTTGCAAAGTCAGACCCATTCAGCGCACATGGAGGGTGCCTGTGGGAATGCCTGGGATGGGTAATGAATCCAAACTCACTTTCCGGCTTTGCTCACATGACAAATAGCCTGGTAAAATGATGAAGAGGAATGAAGACAGGCTACAGCCCCTCTGTGCACATTCCAGTGAATTTCCCAGAGCAAGCACGAGTAACGCAGGTTCCAAGCACAGAGTTGTCTGGGGAGACAAATGGAGAGGTAGTGGGGTGTCTGTGTTTTGGGGGTAGGGGAAGGAAGAGAAGATGGAATTTGGTTTTCTATCTTTGTTTCTAGTTTTCTTCCCCCCGAAGTGAGCAGGAGGAGTAACAGGAAACCGCAAGGGCAGGAAACTTCCGTTCTCTAAGGAACCCATTGCAAAGACAAGGTGTGACACCCTGAGGGTGTTTAGTATGCTAACAAAATGCTGCATAATGTGGCTTCAGAGCGCCGATGGAATTGGTACCAGAAATCTGGGCCTTCCTGCTGTGCTGGGCTCCCCTGCCGTGTGGAGCAAAGGCAGCTCCTTTAGAGAGCTTGATGAGAAGGGGGCGTGGGTCTGCAGCTCTGAACTGTCAAGGCCTCTGAAGCTGTGAAAAGGGAGGCAGTTTGATCCCGCCACCCACTGGCCGGGTGATTTGAGTAAATCTTCACCTTATCTTTCTGTACCTCAAAAGAAGACAGTTTCTAGTTGATGAATCACTTTGTAAATGTAAATTTGCAGATGCTAAATACTGAATCTAGGCTGTGGCCCAGATTCAGAGAAAACATGACAGCAAGGGTCTTTTTAAGATCATGCACAGTAAAGGGCATTAAGGACACTGAGGGGTGGCAGAACAAATGCACCGGCCAGTGGATGTTTCGGGGAGGACAGTGCTGGCTGGACAGCCAGGCCACCATGTCTCCGGCACAGGCAACCCAGCAAGGTCTCGATGAGGTGTGTTAGGCAGGGCGGGGCAAGGACAGCTGGTGAGTCTATACTCATGCCATCAATAGCTCAACCAGGCCGCGGGACAGCTCCAGGACTGGGTCTTGTGCTGACGCCGCATGGATGCTAGCCTGTGCTTGAGACCCAGAAACACTTTAATGATCACTCTCTCGGTGCCACAATAGAAGGAAGGGGACTCCTGGAATGAAGGCAGGCAGCTGTCTGCAGGGACTGGTGAGTGCAGGTGTCTCCCAGGAGCGCAGGCGGCCCGGTGGTAGGGCCAAGCATGTTAAAAATATGCTTAATTAACAAGAGGCTTGAACAATTCATACAAATTTTTTCTTTTTTCTTTTTTTTTTGAGACAGGGTCTCACTCTGTTGCCCAGGCTGGTGCAGTAGCATGATCTCAACTCACTGTAGCCTCTGCCTCCTGGGCTCAAGTGACCCTTCCACCTCAGCCTCCCAAGCAGCTGGGACTACAGGCATGCAACACCACGCCTGGCTGATTTTTGTATTTTTGTAGAGACAGGTTTTTGCCATGTGGCCCAGACTGGTCTCTAACTACTGGGCTCAAGCAATCCTCCCGCCTCAGCCTCCCAAAGTGCTGGAAATACAGGTGTGAGCCACCATGCTGGGCCATAAAAACAATTTTTAATGTTTCCCTACTCATTTATAACAAAACCCAACTCTAAGTTACTTTAAATTAAAAATAGTTTCATGTCTACATGCATCTATGTTCTCACCATCAATTCAACAACTATTTATAGAAATCATAAAAGCATGTCGCCCTGCAGAAACAGTGGAAAATCTTTAAGTAAAATATGTAATCGATGACCTCCTAACAAGGTGCAATTTGGAATTTTATTTACGCCATGATCTATGAAGTTATGACATTAACAGGCGTGATTCTCATTTTATGGAAACCAGTGAGGGCCAGTAACTCTTCCCTTCATCTCCAACTCCAACGGTTGCCCTCCCCTACCCTTTCTCCCCACCAGTTGAATTTATTCAACTACAGAAATGACATCAAATGAAACCCTATAATTTTTCAACTTAACAATTTTTTCCTATAGAAAAGTGTTGTTACAAGAGCTGGGAACACCATTTCTGGGTTTATCCAACTAGGATTCCAAATTTCTAGAAATGAGATGGACAGGATTGTAACCACCATTTAAGCTCCTAAAGTCGGTCCATAGGGTTGAGGGAAAGAAAAACTCCAGCACTCATCCTGAATCTCGGTCATTATAGAATACACTGCTCGACCTTTTCCTCCCACACAAGTAACTTAGGTTTTGTAGGATTTTTACAGATAAAACCATGAATCCACATACAGTTAGTTAATCCTCACGGCAACCTTGTAAGGTCAGTGTTTTTTTCCCTTTAAATAGGTGAGGATAGGCTTGACCAGATAGGTGTTACCAGACTTTCGTCATAGGTTACTGGCCATAGTGTCCTAAATTCTACAATAAACTTTTATACATGTTTTATCATTTTGAGCCTCAAATTTCTGTGATGTAAGTAACATGTATAGCTTTAGCCCTCATTTTAGGAAGAATGAAGGTTCATGCAGCTAGTAAGAGGCTTAGCTGGGCCTTGGCAGAAGCCCGGACAGCCAGTCCATGGCCCGCCACCACACGGTCCAATGAGAACGCTTAGTTGGGGTGATGGTGGTGGAGTGGCTTTGTCTCTGCCAGACATAGGAGCGGCTGTAATTTAATTGTCTTGGAGCAGCAATAAAGAGACAGGAAGGATCCTGGAAGTGACTAAACATTTGCATGGGAAGGCGGTGCTAATTCTCCCAGCTTTCTAAACTCCCTAGATGGGGCTGCCAGATAAAATACATGACACCAGGAGTGTCCCACGCAATGTTGGGGTGCATACGTATAATACAACCTTATTTGTTGGTTATCTGAAATTCGAATTTGCCTGGATAGCCTGTATGTTTTTGGTTGAGTCTGGTGGCCCTACCCCTAAGGGTAAGCCAGTCTTCCACCCTCATTCTCATCACTATGAAACAGGCACATCTTTCTCCTGGTGACAATGGCCCACCCCCTTCAGTTGTGAGTGGAGAACGCGACTGAGATAATTTCCTATTTTCCTCTAATTTGAGTAGCCTCAAGTTAGAACTGGAATAGATTTAAGTATTTCCAAAAGTTTTGAATTTGGGAGATCATGCATTACACAACTGTTAGCTAAGGCTGGTCTCTGGCACTGAACTTAGAATGGGGTCCAGGCTGTCCTTCTGTGGCACACCTCTCCCCAGATGGCACTGAGCCAAGCGTCCCACACCATGCTTACCCCCACCGCATTCTTTGAGTAGAAGAGTCACTTACTTGTATGGAATGTGTTTGCTGCCGTTGACGAGAGCCAGGATGACATTGCCCAGAGCAGACAGCGAGAGGCAGAGTCCTGAGCCTCCTTCTCGATTTTTGCTAAGAGCTTTCACACAGCTGCCGAGATCAATGAGATGCAGGCGGCTGCGACCTCCAGACACTGCCACATAAGAGAAGATGAAAGAGAAATGGTTAAGTTCTGACAAACACTCATCTGTTCTTCATGTAGCTCCTTGGGAAACCTGAGGAAAAATGAAAAGGGGGAGTAAAAGGTTGAAGTTCACGACCTACTAGGAAACCCCAGCAAAATCATGCTGGGGTTGCAAACAGCATTGGTCCTCTTAAATTCTTTTCACCACACACCACTGACCTTCTAAAGTCTACTGACAGTCACACTACAGATAAATGAATTCAAATAATTCTTGCAGGTTGAACTGAATGAGATTTTGGAGAAAATAAATGTCTAATTATAGGAGGCTACATTTCTACCTAAATGCCATTTGAACAGCAGAATTCTGAAACTCATCAAGTTAAAACCTGAATGGCTCACGAGTGATTACCAGCTTTGGTTGATCATTATACAGAATCCAACCTAAAGCTCAGCCAGGAATCAGGTTGCAAACCAAAGGCAAAAATCAGGAAGAAATAACAACCAGGTGCAGAGACAGGGAAGACCCAAATATTTGCTGAGTATCTGCCAAGTGCCAGGTGCTGTACAAACATCAGCCTCATTCAATTCCCATGATAAAATCATAAGCTACATACTATTATCCTTTCTGTATTGATGAGAAAATAACAGTTCAGAAAAGTGAAGTAACTTGCCCATGAGTACTTCTGCTGACGAAGTACAGGGAGACCAAGGTGGCAACAATTTACAAGACAGAGTACAGCAGAGGAAAGAACTCCAGAGATTTGCAGAAGGTCCGTCAAGGGTTCAACTGAGTGCTGGTCAGTACATCTGATATAGTTTGGATGTCTGTGTGCTCCAAATCTCATGTTGAAATGTGATCCTCAATGGTGGAGATGGGTTGTCCACCCCCATGACCCGAACACCTCCCAGCAGGTTCCAACACTGAGAATCACAGGCCTGGTGTTGAAACGTGATCCTCAGTGTTGGAGATGGGGCCTGGTGGGAGGTGTTTGGGTCTTGGGGGTGGAACCCTCGTGAACAGCTTAGTGCCCTTCCCATGGTAATGAGTGAGTTCTTGCTCTTTAACTTCATGCAAAAGCTAGTTGTTTAAAAGAGGCTGGCACCTGCCCCCTTCTCTCTCCTGCTCTCTCCTGCCGTGTGACATGCCGGCTCTCCTTTCACCTTCCACCATCATCGTCAGCATCCTGAGGCCTCACCAGAAGCAGATGCTGGGGCCATGCTTCTTGTATAGCTTGCAGAACTGTGAGCAGAATAAGCCTCTTTATAAATCACCCAGCCTCAGGTATCCTGTTACAGCAATGCAAAAGGGACTAACACAACATTCATGTGAGAAAACTATTCAAGGCTCAGACATTAACCACTTAAGAAGATTGGAGATCGTTTAATTTTACATATATTATTCACAAAGCCAGGAATCGTGCCGCTTCCTAACAGCCAGCCTGGAAAACTTCACGATTCACGGGGCATCGGGTTGAACACCCAGAAGTATTTTCCATACTTAGCCACAGACTGAGCACTGACCTGATCCCATCTAACACATATTAAAAGCAAAACAAAAAAAATGATCAAACTGTTTCCAAGTAACACAACTGCATTCTAAAACAAAGCTTAAGAATATTTACAAAGTAAAGACTCGGGAAAATGAAACCCATAATGAAGAGATCATTGAAACCAACTTAGAATTAGCATAGATGTTAGAATTGACAGAAGCAGCTATTTATTAAAACAGTTATTTCATCTGTATTTCAGACGTTCAAAAAGTTAAGTAGAAACATGGAATATATATTTAAAAAGACACAAAACTATCGAGACCATCCTGGCTAACACAGTGAAATCTGTCTCTACTAAAAATAAAAGAAATTAGCTGGGTATGGTGGTATGTGCCTGTAGTCCCAGCTACTCGGGAAGCTGAGGCAGGAGAATGGTGTGAACCCGGGAGGCGGAGCTTGCAGTGAGCCGAGATTGTGCCACTGCACTCCAGCCTAGGTGGCAGAGCAAGACTCCGTCTCAAAAAAAAAAAAAAAAAAAAAGACACAAAACTGAACCTCTAGAGAGAAAAACTACAATGTGTGAGATAAAAAAATACTAGATGAGATGAATGGCAGAGTAGATATTGCAGAATGAAAAATCAGCAAATTTGAAGATCTAGCAATAAAACTATTCAGAATAAAGTATACAGGGGAAAAAACAACAACAAATAAAAAACAGGAAAAAAGCTGTAGGACAACTTCAAGTGTCTGCTATGTGTTATTGGGGTCCCGAAAGGAGAAGACACAGAGTGTGCTACAAATAAAACATTTGAGAAAAATAATGGCTAAAAATTCCCCACATTTAATGAATCATAAACCCATGTATCCAAGAAGCTAAGTGAGCCCCAAGCACAAATGAAGAAACTATATCAAGGCATATCATAACCAAACTGCCCAAAACCAGTGATATAAAGAAAAATCTTGAAAAGAGCCAGAGGGAAAAAAGCACATTATATATAAAGGAACAAAGATAAGGATGATGGCAGATTTCTCATTGGAAATAATGCAGGTGAGAAGACAGTGGAGCAATGTTTTTAAAATACTAAAAACTGTCAAGTTAGAAATATACACCCAGCAAAAGTATCATTCCAAAACAAAAGGGAAATAAAGATATTTTTAGACTTAAAAATCCTAAAAGAATTCACCATAAGCAAAAACACCAGGAATACAGACGAAGGAAGGAAGAGCTTTGGAAATGATAACCACATGGGTAAATATGTAATTTTTATTACTTTAAATCTCTTTGAAAGATTATTAAAACAAAAATCACCATGTAATGTGTGAGTAACATGTAAAATTAAAATGTTTGATAGCAATAACACAAAAGTCAGAGGGGAGAAATGGAAGTATACTATTGTAAGGTTTTTATTCCTTATATAAGTGGTATAATATCACTTTAAATTAAATTGTGGTAACTTAAACATGTATGTTACAAACACTAAAGCAATAATGAAACAATAAAAGTAATAGCTAACAAACCCACAAAAGATAGAAATTAGAATGTTTAATAAATAAATCCAAAAGAAGGCAGAAAAAAAAGAGCACAAAGATCAGATGGGACAAACAGAAAACAGAAAAGTAATATTTTGAACCAAACTATATCAATAATCACATGAAATTGAAATAGTCTAAAATACTCTTATTAAAAGGCAAAAATCGTCAGATTGGATAAAAAAGTGAGGCACTACTATATGCTTCCTATGAGAAATGCACTTCAAATAGAAATAAACAATAGTTTAAACGTGTGAGTGTGGATAAGGCAAACAGTAACCAGGAGAGTTGGAATCTACCAGTATTAGACAAAAGAGACTGAAGACAAAGACCCATCCCATTTATGCGAAGACCTGCGGGGAGGCATGTCCAGCACCTCCTGCTGCAGTCATGGAACTATCCTACTGATGCAGTGTCCTCCTGGGAAAGACACACCTTCAGATACAAGACTGGGCTCTCTAGCTTCTGTCCCACAGCAGATCCCAAGGGGGCCCAGTCACAGCTCCAGACCCTCCCTCTGCCATCAGATAACTATTCTATCTGTACAGGAACTTGCTGGGTGACACACACCCCTCTGAGCTGAGACTGAGCCCTTCAGTATCTGTCCCACAGCAGATCCCAAGGGGGCCCAGATTCTGCTCTAGCTCCTCCTGCTGATAGTTGGGGAACTATCCTGTCTATGCAGGGATTTACTAGAAGATGCATGCCCATTTGAGCCAATGTTGCAGGTATGCCAGCCTCCATCCTTTTTTTTGAGACGGAATCTCACTCTGTCCCCCAGGCTGGAGTGCAGTGGTGCAATCTCGGCTCACCGCAAGCTCTGCCTCCCGGGTTCACGCCATTCTCCTGCCTCAGCCTCCTGTGTGGCTGGGACTACAGGCTCCTGGCCAGTCTCCATCTTATAGCAGATGGTGAGGAGGCCCGGTCTTGGCGTTAGCTCCTCCTGTTATGGGTAAGAAACTACTCCACTTGTGCAGAGACTTGCTGAGTAACACATGCCTGTCTCAGCCAATGAGAAAGGCCCATCAGCCTCCTCCTCACAGCAGATCCTGAAGGGGTCTAGTCTCAACTTCTGCCTCTCTTGTTATAGTTGGGGACCCAGCCTACCTGTGCAGAGGCCTGCGGGGAAGTACACTGGTCTGGGACACACCTGTGCAGAGGCCTGCGGGGAAGTACACTGGTCTGGGACACTAGGACAGTCTTCAAGATTCAGGTCCCTGGCGGCCAGCGTTCCCACATAACACACGTCCTGTCCTTGGATCTTCCCCAGGTCCGTTTGGCCCAGAAAGCCATTGTGAGACTCACAGCAAGCCTGGGAATAGAGTATCCTCTAGTGCTGAGATGACTGTGGTGATCACAGATAGGGAACATAATAGTCAGTGGGCTTAGAATCCCTGGAAGACCCTCAGAAGAGGTGCAGGCACAAAGCCAGACTAGGAAGACTAAAATATTTAATCTCTCAATGTGTAGCTATCATCATACTTCAAGCATCAAGAACATTCAGGGAAATACAATGTCAAAGGGACAAAGTAAGGCACCAAGACTGGCCCTAAAGTGATGAAAATGTGTGATCTCTCAAACAAATAATTAAAAACAGTAGTTTTAAGGAAGCTCAGTGAACCTCAAGAAAGCTCAGAGAAACGTCTCAGAGAAAGTTCAGAGAAAAATTTAAAAAATAAATAGAAATCCTGGAGGTAAAAAATTCAATAAATGAAATGAAAAATGCAATAGAGCATAGCAGAGGAATTGATCAAAAAGAAGAAAGGATCAGTGAGCTCAAAGACAGACTATTTGAAAATACACAGTCAGAAGAGAAAAAAAAAAGACGAAGAAATGAACAAAGCTTTTGGGACCTATGGACCAACATCAAAAAAGCAAATATTTGGGTTAGTGGAGTTAGAGAACTGAGAAAGACAAGAGGTAGCAAGCTTATTCAAAGAAATAACACAGGCCAAGCGCGGTGGCTCAAGCCTGTAATCCCAGCACTTT